CTGTAATGTAATTACGTACGGAAATTATTTCTTGCTTACGTATTTTCCACGCAAACAGTTAACTAAAGAATTACATTCCTATGTGTACACGAGGCATTCCTAATTAAAAATATAGATTTATGACTAAATAATTACTGTCCAAAATAGTGTCTTTTGACTCTGTCACAAATATTATTTTACTTTAATAGGGGGTATACCATATATTCTTGAAAAACTTTGTAAAAAGTTGTGCAAATTAGTAAGTTTATCAATAGTGTTATCTTCACATGTTGTAGCCAAGCCAAGTGAACTTGAACAAAAATTTTTCAGTTGTATTAAATAAATTACAATATATAATATAATATTTTTATAGTTGAGCGCGCGCTAGTCAGTTTTATTTACTGATATATAACTCCTTCGCGGGAGTTGAAGAACCTTAGCCGTGTACTCTCATCGTGTAATAAAGTCAGGAAGTCCAAAATGCAAGTTTTTCCTGAGCCGTTTAACTGGTCACACATGTGAAGATATAACTTTTAAGCCATAAGAGAAACATTGATGTCTTATTAATGATCATTATGTCAAATTGTCATTATCGCCATTGCTTCTTGTAGAGTTGCCAGTATTTGCCTTTATTAATTTTTTTAAAGGTATACTCAAGCATGATAGAGGCTGCTCGCATGATGTACACCCTTGAGGGACCAACATCTTTCTACAAAGGTTTCTCATATAACATGGCACTCACCAATTCTTGTTTGGTTTATTTTATATATATTATATTATTTACATTTTGTATTCATATTATTTGCTTTCTAGGATTGATTCCATCTTTGCTGCAGATTTTTCCTTATGCTGGTCTTCAGTTTGGGTCCTATACTTTGTTAAAGATGATTTGGGATTATACTTTTGATATCAGGGTAAGCTTACCTTCAACATCAAATAGAGATGCTGAACATGATGGTGATGATGATGATGGTAATGATGATGGTGATGGTGATAATGATGGTGATGATGATGGTGATGATGGTGGTGGTGATGATGGTGATGATGATGATGATGGTAATGATGATGGTGATGATAGTGATGATTATGATGATGATGATGATAATGATGATGATGACAATGATTATGATAATAGTGATGATGACAATGTGATCATGATGGAAATGGGGATGAAATCAATACCACATATTGACCATATAGAGGTTGATACTTATATTTTGATGATTAAGATATTATGCTAGCAAATAACAGATTTTCTCTCTATAGATCCACGACCCCTACATGCCAGCAGATATTATAGAGAGTCTTTTCTGTGGTGCTGTTTCTGGTATGATCAGTAAAGCTGTCATACTTCCTATTGACATTGTCAAGAAGAGAATCCAGGTACATAACTATGAGCTTTGTTAGCTCTCTAAAGTCCATT